ACTTACATAGTCAATACTGTGGACAATCCCCGCAGGAGCAATTTGGAGTGAAGTGTCTTGCCCAGGGACACAACCACATGCTGATTGCAGTGGGGTTTGAACCTGTGACCCCCTGATCTAAATAGCAGTGCACTAGTCCACTGCGCCACACGCCTCCCTAATAAATAAAATTAATAGAAGATTTATTATATTATTCCGTTGTTTTGCTGATGAACGCTCAACTCTTACTTTATGTATACAAACTTTGCAACTTCCGGGAAGTCTTCACTTTAGCATTATATCCTGTTAGATATTTTGTGGGATATAATGAGCAAGTATTTTTTAAGTTATGGTCCATACAGATGTTTTTGTGAGGTCACAGTGAAATCTAACCCCTCAAATCTAAACAAATATAAAGTTTGTATAAGCACAGATGCTTTCTTTGCCTTCACTCCGTACATTAAGTGCATTATAAACGAACTGCTCATGTACATTTGTGATTATTTGTCCGCTCCTGTGGGGGGTTGTTTTTCCATTTCCGTCACATTAAATTATTCCGGGATGAGATTTAGTTGAATATGATCTGTCATCAGTTAATATGAATAAACCTCCTCTTCCTCTTGTATTTCCTGTTGTAGATATGATCAGTTATGTGACTTTAACCCCTGCTACTTTCCTTCTGGACTTTTTGTAGCCATTAAGATATGTCTTCAGTTTTCCAGAACAACACCAACACTTGTTTATGCAATCATGATAAAGCCCTTCTTGGTTTAACACGCAGTTTATTTATATAGCAATAAATCTGTTTCAGAGACGGTATATCCTCTCCAGACAAATTTACTTAAAATAATCTGACGCAGTGACAGACAGTCTGAGGTTTGTTTCTGTCAACTCCCAGCATCCTTTTGGAGAGGGTCCCGCCCTCTGGGTTACAGAGGTGTGCCGTGTAATTTAACACGCTAATGACACGCTCCTCAAAACGGTCGTCATTAAAGTCATACATCTTCAGTCTTAAAAAGGATTTAGATTGGATTATATTATATTAAAAAAATAACGTTTTGTTATATTTTTTCAAACATTTGAATACCTTTAAAAACAAAGTGTTTTCTATAAAAATATATTAAATTGTTAAGTTATTTAACTCTTTTTTTGTTTGTCCTCTTTTGGCCTGCCATACACTTTAAATAAGCTATAATAAATGTAAAAAAAATATATAATGCTAAAACATTGAGAATTTAAAACATCTTAAACTTGCAATTTTGATTTGATCTATGTTCTTATAGACTTTAATTGACTTAAAAAACAAGTGACATTTTTCAGCTGTAAACGTTCAGCGCCTCCCGTTCTCCTCTGCTTGCAGTCTGTAATTAAAATGATAATGAACGTGTTGTAAATGCAGCGTGACGTCAGCACTGACTCTGGGTTCAACCTGAAAACTCAGCTGGATTATCCTCCGCCTGAATTGCACACACACTCCTCACTCTGTGTGTGAAGGAATTCTGATGCAAAACCAACTGGATCTATCTGCAGCACAATTTGCATTTTAATACGCAGAGTTCATTTCCAACGTGTCTATTAATCCATTTGGAACAAACAAGAGTCTGAAAAGCTTCCAGAGTGGGTTTTAAACAACCTGCACAATAAAGAGGATTTTCTCTCGATATGTATATGCAACAGCGGCTATTTTTAGGACAGTGTTATTGGAGAAATCATCGAAACAGAAGCAAAGCAGAGATTAACGTTTATCAAGATCAAGAAAAGCTTAGGGAAAAAACTTGAATCGCCTCGCTAACTAATGAAATTGCAGTTTAATGGAGAAATATGACGATATTGTAGATAATTACAATAACCCCAAATTGATCATGTTGTTGATAGTGCTGCAGATGCTCTGTTGCTCCTTTGAAAAAGAAGAAAATAAAACAACATAGACTAGCTGCACCCCTTCACCCCTAAAGGGCACTGAGAACTTCCACACCAACACTATGTGCAATATACATATCAATTTAATTAACATCATTGCAATAAACTCGCTGCTATATATATAACTATGTGCAATATTATATTATTGGTATTAGTAATAATACTATGATAACGTGCAATTACGTAACTGCCACTACGTTTTATTTTTTGCACTACTAACTACTAAATACTGCTAATAATAATTGCATTGATTGTGTGACCATATGTTTCTACGTTTCATGTTGTCTGTGGATGTTTAATTGCTCTTTTTGCTGCACTTTTAGTGTACAGTTTTGCTGTTGTGCTGCTGTGTTTATTGTGTTTATTGTATTTTGTTACTCTGGCACAACAATTTCCTTCGGGATGAATTAAGTCTTATCTTATCTTATCTTAGCTCCATGGCATAATGCAGAAACCCGCAAAATAAAGCAAAAGTCGAGACAACTTTAAAGGATATGGCGTTCCACTTGAAGAATCTCGTTTAATTTGGCATATTACTCTCAATGAATATAAGAAAGCACTGCGTAAAGCGAGAGCAGCCTACTACTCTTCATTAATAGATGAGAATAAGAATAATGCAAGATTTCTTTTCAGCACTGTAGCCAGGCTGACAGAGAGCCACAGCTCGATTGAGCCTTCTATTCCCATAGCACTCAGTAGTAATGACTTTATGTGCTTTTTTAACGATAAAATTGTTACTCTTAGAAACAAAATTAATGACCTCTTGCCTTTGACCAGTATAGTGTTATCAACAGCTCCCGGAAACGTAAGTTCTAATATTACACTAGATAGTAAACTAGAATGCTTTTCAGCCATAAACCTTGAACAATTAAATTCAATGATTCTTTCTTCTAAACCATCAACGTGTATCTTAGACCCGATTCCAACTAAGCTGTTAAAGGAAGTTTTTCCATTAATTAGCACTTCTTTATTAAATATTATGAATATGTCTTTATTATCAGGCTATGTTCCACAATCATTCAAAGTAGGTAACAAAAAATTCATAGTGGTTGACAAAACGTGACGAAAAGGGTTCTTAAACTCCCTTGCTTCTATCTTAACCATTATATTACCGATTTTGGGACCTGCTCAACCAGAAAATTCTTCTNATGAATTGCAGAAGCCTGTGTATTGCACATTTCATTGTTATTGCAGTTTTACAGTTTTTTTGTCTGTAGCAGGCAGGGTGAGAGCAGGCAGGGTGAGAGGCTCTCACCCTGCCTGCTCTCACCCTGCCTGCTACAGACAAAAAAACTGTAAAACTGCAATAACAATGAAATGTGCAATACACAGGCTTCTGCAATTCATTTATATTACTGGCTGCAACTACACTACTTCTTATATGTTCCCCTACTTTTTTTTTTTTTTTTTAAATAATGCTGCTACTTATTTGTTTACAATGCATGCATAGTTATTTGATTTTAGTTTATTAAGTGTGCTTGCATCTTGGTTATTTTTCCTTGACGCTGGCTGCAGTGAGGTTAACGGGAACTAAGTCTGGCTGCGGGGGGGGAGGCTGCGGGGCGTGCACCGTCATGGTGTCCCGCTACCAACCTGCCACCAAAACCATCATGTATCCTTTCTGATAACAATGGAGGACCACTGGAGTATATTGAAAGGTTTTCTGCAGAACACACAGTTTCCCTTCACCTTACTTTCAGGCATTTCTCAGCGAACGCCTGCCTGCTGCCGCTCTGCTCGCTGCAGGGAGCCGCCGTCACCACCGTGGAGGGGGTCGGCAGCACCAAGAGCCGCATTCACCCAGTGCAGGTCAGTGAGGGACGCCTTGCTCATGAGCACCTCAGCATTAAGTGCTGAGGGGGAAGAGAGCGATCATTTTCTTCCTCCATTTCCCAAAGTGATGTGCATGCATGTTACAGCAACTGTAAATGCCTCTAGATGTACAGCCCCAAACACACTTCCCTTTTAATGCAAAACACACCTTCGTCAAGGAACAAATGTATGAGTTAAAGATTTTCTTTTTGATGCTGTGCTTTTTTAGGAGCGGATAGCGAAGGCTCACGGCTCTCAGTGCGGTTTCTGCACCCCGGGCATGGTGATGTCGATGTACACCCTGCTGAGGAACAAACCTCAGCCCAGCATGGAGGACATCACACAGCACCTCGCCGGTCTGTCTGCTGGATTTTATTCATAATAGCCATATATAACGCACCTTTAAAAACACAACACACAACAAGAATTACATGTTAAAAGCAGATCTGAAAATGTGAGTTTTGATTTGTGATTTTAGAAATTGGTGCAGTCGTGCCTTTTCCATGAATCCAGTTGTTTATATTCATGTGAAAACACCAAGTGATTATTAATGAAGTCTCACAAATCGGTTATGCCTCCTTATTCTGTGTTTTTGTTTTTCCAGGAAATCTGTGTCGCTGTACTGGATATCGGCCCATTATCGACGGCTGCAGGACTTTCTGTCAGGTACAAAGCTCCGCTCTGCAGGGAATACAAATTATATAATTCTGTTTTTGCAAGACTGTAACTTAATGTGTCTGCAGAACTGGTTAATGTCACCAGGCATAGCCTAGCAAACACAAGGAAAAACATTAAGGATTCATTTTACTCCAACTAAAACCAACAGGAAGAAAACTGCTGTCAAGCTAATGGAGCCGGAGACTGTTGCCTCAATGGAGACAAAAATGATGATGAAGCAGAGCGTGTAAGTTTAAGTAAAAATAAATGTCTTGCTTTTTAGTTATTTGTCTTTTTTCTATTTCCCTTCTTTTAAGCATTTAAAAAAACAAATAATGGTACAGAGCAAAAAAATTTAAAAATAAAAGAATAACCAACAAACAAACAAGAGGAGCAGAGGAAGGAAAAACATTCACTTAATAATCTTGCCATGGTGTCCCATGTATCCCATTAAATGCTTGTGCAATAAAACTGCAGTCATTAAACCGCTCTTAAAAAATAATAATCTAGATGCTTTAATAATGAACAACTACAGGCCCATATCAAACCTGCCATTTCTAGGTAAAATCTTTGAAAAAGTAGTTTTTCAACAGTTGAGTAATTACTTAAAGGGGACCTATCATGCAAAATGCACTTTTGTACGTCTTTTATACATGAATATGTGTCCCCGGTGTGTCAGGGAACTCACCAAGTGTCAGAAAACACAACCCTCTCTCTTTTCCTCCATACCCAAATCTCTAAAAACGGGGCTGCAACGGAGCTGATACAGATTTGAATTTTTCTGACGTCAGAAAAGGGGTTCTCCGATATGGGCAACTCTCCACCTATCAGGGGAATGGGGGGTTGGGCCACGGCCGCTTGAAAGCGCTGGAGACACTGTAGTACATATGCCAGGCCTGTAAGTGGTGCTGTAGTCTGCCACAAAAGCAGCGAAGAAGACTTCCCGCGCATGGTTGCCCTTCTGTTTATTCTCCGCTGTGGACGCTGTGGTTCTTTTTCTCCCTCCCCGAGGCAAGCGTTTGCTCCTGCTGCTGTTATTCATTGCAATCCCTCCCTCGCTGTAATTCTCTCCGGTAGTCCACCAGCAGATGACCAACACTCACCACTCCGCCTCTTCCAAGGAACAAGGGGACCGTGCGGCAGAGTTTCAGTTCGATTTTTTTTCGCCGGTCAACATCTCCGTTAAAGTTTAAATCTTCCGGACAAAGTTAGAAAAGTGCCGGTCAAAGGTCTTCTTTGTTATTTATTGAGCTTTAAAACAAATGAATAACGACTCGATATAATCATATAAGAATAGCCTCTCTTTTCCTCTTCTGAGAGCCCAGCAGCGGATCTCAGAGAACGCTCCCCTCTCCTGCAGGGGGGCGTGGTCAGCTGCAGCTCATTTACATTAAAGCTACGTCACAGAATCAGCCCTTGCAAGAACAGGGCTGGAAAAGAGCAAATAGAGCAAAATTAGGCATGGCTAAAATGCATGATCTGTTTGGTATTTAAAAAAAAAAACTTCACCGACATGTTTTATATAGGCATGGCCCTACAATATATTATTCAAATATAGCATGATAGGTCCACTTTGGATTTATACTGTACTTAGGGTGCTCTTTTAGCTTCTGCTTATGCTGGTTGCCAAGACTGTAATCTGTACCTCTGCAGCAATTGGATTATATTTTAGAAAGATAATTTAGCTTATTCATCTATGTATCTTCTCTATAATAGCTTTTTACTCTACTACAAAGTTCCTTGCTTAGAACTGGGTATGCAGCAAAAAATCCTAAATAGAAGTCAGAAGGTGCAATAAATAATCAGACTGGAGATGCAGTGTGCTCTCTATTACTGTCAGGTTAGACTTGTAACATGTTTCTAGATCTCAGTCATCAGTTTGACAGTACAATGTGAGCCTAATCAGTAGCTTTGACAGCAGAAGCATCAAAATAAACCCAAGATGTCATAAACGAAAATTATTCTTAGTTAAATGAAGTTCACCCTGCTTTCTCCATCATTACTCTGATCATGTTCTGAAGCCATCGCTTGTTTCATTGGTTAGGCACAGTTATCGGACAGCAATGATATCTACTATTTGCCACTTTTTACCACTCTATCTTAATTGAACAGACACAGTATCAACATCATTCTAACAGCACAAAGGTAAAGTCGGCATGTTCGGACACAATGCGTTTTTTTTGGCCATGTTCCTTTTGTTTGCACCTCCAAGAGATGCCCCTTGTCTCAATTATATTTGTTAAATATGGTGAAGAGGGAGCCATTTGTAAAGCAGTGTGGGTCCGATTGGAAGCTATAGGTAGCTAGTCAAAGCATTAACTTGTTTGTAAATTATGCAGAATCGCTCATCTCTAATGTACAGGTAAAACAGCCACTTGATTAACAATCTCACTCCATTATTGACTTTTTATAGCTCTGCTCCCATGACACAACATGAGTAATGATGTGAGTGCCATTTATAAATTGAGTTATTTTTCGTATGAATTAAAAATATCAAGTTAGCATATATAATAACTGCTAGTATCCAGTGAGCGTTCACTGTCACAGATGATCGTCTTTTGTAAAACATTAACATTATTTTTAAACAGTTGGTGCCAATATCCCCTTGTGAGATGGCCCACTTTACTGGAGGCAAGTCTGATGCTTTGGAGTTAGACAATAGTCTTTTAACAGAAGCATACTGTCAGCTTTTACTGATGTTTTTCATTATTGGAATACACAGAAAGATTGTTAAACCTTGATTGGCCTTTCCCCTTAAAGTTGACTAGTTTACTCGGCTATAGAAAGCCTAAAATGGCAAATTTATTTAAAGACAGCAAGCTAGTATTATTGCTGACGATGACAGGTTGCAGGGTAAAGTCAGTTTATCAGCTAATCTGCCAGTTAGATAATTATGCTTTTTGTTGTTATTTGGTTTACCACTGAATACTTTTCTATTTTCTCATACTATTATTAAAGAATATTCTACAGCCTGCCAGTTAGGTCCCATAGCACTAGAGTCCCATATAAACCTGCTATAAAAGCACAATTCTGCTGTCTGTGTCTATCTGCAGAGAGGTGAGTAGAGAGAGACACAATAAGTATACACACACACACACACACACACACACACACACACACACACACACACACACACACACACACACACACACACACACACACACACACACACACACACACACACGGGTTTCTCTTGTTTTGTCCTCTTTATAGTATCTGCAAACAGTGCTTTGATTGTGATATAGTTGTGGTTTCACAGGTTTGTGTGCAGAAGCAGAAGCGTAAATGCATGATGTAACATTTCTGCAGTAGCTAGCACTGTATGCTTAGACAGACACTTCTCTACTGCAGCTGAATATCCAGTACAATTCACACCCCTATATTTTATTCTAAGACATTTGTTTGTGATACGGGTCATTTTAATTCCACATGGTTTGGGAATTTTGAATCACAAGCAACTTACCGGTATATATTAAAGTAATGACTGTTAACTCATTAAGAGCTATAACTTTGATATGTTTTGATTCATAGGCTAATCTCCCTCATGGTCTTAACCTCAACATTAGGCAGGTTTTTTCAAGTTCATTGACTGGTTTGCAAGCCCAAGGATACATAGCACTACTGCCATACTTACACACTCAAGGAAAAAAGGGAGCTAGAGCATACAAGGACTGTGCCTGCGACTCAAGGAGCAAAAGAGATTGTGGATTTATGAGGAGAATATGAACAGCTGGCAGACACTGATAAAATGACCATCACTTCAGAGGCAGTGAGTCAATTCGATGACACAATGACTTAAAGATTAATTGCAAATTGAGGTTGCAGGTTACAAAAAGCACATGGGGTTTTCAGCAAATTGATGGAGGGTTTCTGAGAACACTTGTGTCCTCCCTTAAGAGTCATTTTGGAAGGAATATGGGTGAGTCTTTTGACTTAATGTTTAGGAAATTATCTTCTCAACTGCTTTAAGACTTAATGGCCATATAGTATGAGGAAATGGTCTGAATGCACCAGTTTCACAGCAATTCACAAGGTTCCAGGCTTCAAAATGTTCAAATATTTGGGAATATTTTCTTTTGAGTACAGATATTGCAAAAATATGCAAACTGGTGCTAAACATGGCTTGTATGGCTTCATTATAGAGTAGAGGAATTTAAATACAAAAACCTTTATTGAAAAAGGTGCTTTCTATTCACAACATAGAATGCTGATCACCCTTTGAAATGAACCCACACTTAGACATTATCTGACATCCATGGAGTCCTTGGCCATGTATATAAGATGCTTCCAGTCACTTCATTGTACTCATAGTCAAGTGCATGGGCAAATACACATAAATATGCCACATAATTGCTGTACTGTATATCTAAAAGTAATTTTTCTTGGTTATTGCTTGTTTTATAATCCTCTATTACTGGGGCATACACTTTTTTTCCGAGCAACTCTTGGAGCTGTTCAATATTGTTACATCATTACCTTGCATTGCTCTTCTTGCTATGCCTGTGTAATTGTTGCTGAACCTGTGGGGATCATCAGCATGTGCTGGTCATCAGCTCTAATTTCCTATAAAAACTGAGCTGTGTGCATGACAATGAGCATTGAAGCATGATACTGTATACTGTCATGGTGGGCTCTGCAGTCCAAAATAGAAATTCATGTAATGGTTTTGGCAACTTTTGTTTCACCTTAGCTGACTGATACCTCTGTTTTTTAAAGTCATATACTGTATATGGAAGAGGAATTCAGATTTTGAGGCTGGGAATTTCCCTGACCTTGAATGTCCCTGCTTTAAGCAAAATGCCGAGCTGCAGGGTGAATACATTTTTTTTTTTATTATTATGATCCTTTTTGAAAACAAATTTATCTAGTTGTTCAACTTCAAATTCTTAGGTACAGTTAAGCTTTGCAACAGTAGAGAAAATGCTCTTTCAGTTTCCTTTCAGTAACAGGCATGAATGAAATTACTATAAATAAGGGGGGACTTTTTTGATTAAAACTCCGATTGACATTTTTATAAACTTATATTGCACAGCCCATCTAAGCCAATTTGGGGAAACGATGTAAGGCTTTGTTGCTGCATTGGATACTTTGTATTTATACCCAGACAGACACCATAATTATCCCCCAGTAGCATGTAGCCTTGAGCACAGACAAATTAACTGGAACCGGAAAGAAAAATGTAGAATGTAACACTTCAACCATGCCTTACTTCAAGCCTTATATTAAAGCCTACAGAAACAAAAAATATAATATAGGCCCCTTGTGTTTTGTAATCACATTACAAAGGGTTAGGGACATTCCAGGTATTATTTTCATTTTCAGACTTGCTGAGAGTGATTGAAAGGGGAAAAAGTATAAGTAGGCCTTTTTATTTCCTTACTAACCGACCCAATCAGCCTATAACAACTTTTTCTAATAAAAACATACCTGTTTAGGACTCTTACAGTAATCCGTTTTTTAAACCCTTTACACTGAAAAAAAGTAGCACAATGGAGAACCTTAAATGTGATCAATTATGATCAGTTGTACCTGAAACCCCTTTTTGGAGGGGAACGGATAAGGGGGTTTGAGACATTATAATCAGCAAAAGTATTTAAATTCTATAAATTACAGTGCAATACAAATATATTTACTTATTTATTTACTTATATTAACCAAGCCTACAATACAACATAAAAAAAAACCTTCTGTTTGTTGCAAAAAATACATCATCATTTACATTCCAAATTCCTAGTTTCACTATTAGTTAAGCGTTAGAAATGGATTTGTAATGTAGCAAAAAACTATAATAGTGATTTAAGATTAGTAACATATGGACTTGCTTAAAAATCACAATTTTGATTTACCTGCAGAGGTGAGAGGAGCAACAAAGGTACACACACAAAGACACACACACAAAGACACACACACACACACACACACACACACACACACACACACACACACACACACACACACACACACACACACACACAATTTATTATGAATGATTTTGTCTTGTTTTATCCTCTTCATAGTATCGTAAAACAGTACTACTTTATCCGTAGTGTTTGTTTGTGATATACTTGTGGTTTCACAGTTTTGTGTGCAGAAGCATAAGCGTATTGCTTGATGTAATGTTATTGCAGTATCTAGCACTGTATGTTTACAAAGACACTTCTCTACTGCAGCTGAATATCCTGTACAATCCACACCCCTATAATGCCTACTGCACATGGCTTTCACAACCAAGCCGTGAAATGGACTAACAATCCTTTGAATGCACTTTACAGTAGCAGGGTTATCACCGAGAATTTCGTAGCTTAACTGTGTTTGTATAATTCTGCAGAAAGGCTGAGAGCATCCCTTCACAGCAAGAGGCCTTCTGTATAATTGTGTTACAGCAATTCTATAAACCCATTTGTCTGCGATGATGTATTTTTTTTCCACATGGTTTGGGATTTATGAATGACTACTGTATATATAATAATATATGAGAGTAATGACTGATAACTCGTTGGGAGCTATAATGGTGATATTTTTTAATTCACTGGTGCTAGCCTCCCTAACGCATCGTCCACACGGCGGCGTGCGTTGAAGCTTGCCGGCGGGCGTGTCTGAAGCTCGACCAACAACCAATCACATGAATCTCCCGCCCCGGACACACAAGCACGCGGTTTGATTGGCTAGAGCTTATACTGGCATATGATTTGATTGGCTGACGCTTCCGTCGAAGCTTCAAAAGTTGAACATTGCTCAACTTTTGAAGCGAGCAAAGCAAAACGACGCTCCCACAATGCAGTTCGGCAAAGCGTAACGTCACCCCATTCAAAGTGAATGGGCGTTGGACGGGCCGTAATGGTCTTACAATGCAGTAGAATAAATATATTGGTCCATAATCAAGCCTAAAAATATTCAAAATCCTAGTTTATATTTACCGTATTTGTCATATTGTTGCATGTACACATTTGTTTGTGTACAATAAGGGGCTGTTTTACCTCCAAATAAAGGGGTTTAGATCATGAGATGATTCTTTGTATTTATATCGTTGGATTTGTAATATGAATTTACCAGACAATATCTCTTCTTCTGGATCGATTTGTATATATTTTTTAAGAACTACACATTGTGAAAATGACACTGTTACTCTGTAGGAATACAATTAGCATTTGGTAGACTCGTGTTTTTTTAGGTTATTCTTTTAGGTTATTTGGCGATTGATTTGATAATGAAACATGAAAGGCATTATATAGCAATTTTGCTCACGTCTCTCTTTCTCTGTCTCACTTGAGTGTGTCCCCTCCTACGTCCCTCTCTCAATTCCTGGCATTCCCTCTGTTTCCCTGGAGTGAGGCTGTCTTATGGCTGTGCCCAGGGCAGAAGACTATTAATAAGACATACTGTTGTGGAAAGGTATAGATCAGAGGAGAAAACAGTACCCTGGGCTACTGCATAGTGAGTGGAAATGGAAGGCAAAGAGAATGAGAGAAAGCTAGAAAGAGATAGATTGAAGGGAAGACATAATGCCTAGGGTACTGTGAAAAAATGGATGGCCCTCTGTCTTTGAAATAGCAGAAAACAAAGAGTTGGAGAGGTAAAAGAGGGATGATGAGGTCTAAAATGATGAACTCAGCAGAGGGCTTATAAAAGGGCAGTTATGGTAAGATGTATATCTGGGGGATACTTCAGGTGTCTTGGAGTGTGTGGATAAAGGAGCAGATCAGCAATTTGGTGCGGAATAAAGATGGGAAGAAAAGGTGCCTGAAAAAGATGCCGGTCTCCGAGTTTAAACTAAAGTCAAAATAAGTCAAAAAACTAAAGAAAGTTGAGTGAATCTCTTCGACCACTGGTTTGATACTATGTTGTCTTTCGTTTGACATACCATAACCATTTTATAGATAGATAGATAGATAGATAGATAGATAGATAGATAGCTAGATAGATGCCAATAATATGCCGATGGTTTTAAACAAGGAGACAAAAGCTGTTGAGGGGCCGTTTGGTTATGCCAGCACATTTTGAATTAAAGCCATTGTGATGGTAATTTTGTCATCTCTAATGGACAATTAGATAGCAGATTGAGAGC